AAGGAGCCCGTGGACGGTACCGGGACCCGGCGGGGCCGGGCCGGGGCGGAGGGGTCGGGGAAAGGGGCTGCGAGCGGGGAAGAGCCTGAGGTGGGGAGGGAAAACCTCGTTTATACAGAAATCTGGTGAATTCGTAGAGCGCGCTTAACCGCAAATCTATACACAAGAAGTACCCCTTGGTCGGATAAATACACGGTGTTTCACATCGGCTGGGAAAATCGGGATTCCCAGACGCTGGGATCTTGTGAGACAGCGAGTCCTGCAGTACAGAGAGCCCTGGAATGGTTTTGGCTGGAAGGGAGGGACCTTAAAGCCCATCCAGGAACACCTTTCACCATCCCAGGCTGCTCCAAACCCCTCCAGCCTGGCCTTGGGCACTGCCAGGGATCCAGGGGCACCCAGGGGTGCTCTGGGCACCTGTGCCAGGGCCTCACCACCCTCACAGAGAACAATTCCTTCCAAATATCCCCTCTAACCCTGCCCTCTGGCAGTTTAAAGCCATTGTCCCTTGTCCTGGCACTCCAGGTCCATTTAAATGATCCCTCTCCATCTTTCCAGCAGCTCCTTCAGGCACTGGAAGGCCACGGTTAAGTCAACCCAAAGCATTTTTCCTCCAGGCTGAACAATCCCAACTCTCCCAGCCTTTTTTCACACCAGATCTGTTCCATCCCTCTAAACAACTCACCTCATCTCCAACAGGTCCATGTCCTTCCTGTGCTGTGGTGATGCTGGAGATTTAAAAACCCAAAACCAAACCAAATTAAAAACCAAAAAATAACCCCAAAAAAATCCCACCACCAGCAGCAACAAAAAAAAGACCCACCAAAATCCCCAAACGCCCAAACAAAACCCCCGAGACAACAGCAAGAAGAGACCAACCATTAAAAAAACCCCCCAAAAAACCCCCAAAAGCGGAGTTTTGCCCTCCAGGTGCTTGAAGGAGCGAGCGGTGTTTTGCAGAGTGTCAGCAGGAGCTGCCGCTGGCCCGGACCGTGGCGTCCTGGATCGTGGGAGGACACGAGGCCCCGGAGGGCGCGTGGCCGTGGGTGGTGAGCCTGCAGGTGCTGCGGGGCGGTGTCCGCTTCATACACCTGTGTGGAGGTGTGCTGCTGAGCCGCAGAGCTGTGCTGACCGCCGGGCACTGCGTGGACGGCAGGACGTACGTACTGACCAGTACTGACCAGTACAGCTGGGCACCACGGGTGAGCCCCCTGGGTGGGGGGAAGGAGGCCAAGGGAACCTGAGCAGATCAGGGGTTGTCAAAAGCCCCTCTGGTGCTGGGCTCTCATGATGAGGAAGACACTGAGGGGCTGCAGCATATCCAGAGCCAGGACAGAGCTGGGGAAGGGGCTGGAGTACAGGTTTGATGGAAAAGATCACCAAAAGCATCAAGTTCAACCTCTGCTTGATCCCCACCTGGTCACCAGACCAGAGCCCTGAGTGCCACCTCCAGTTGTTCCTTGGACACCTCAAGGGATGGGGACTCCACTGACGCCCTGGGCAGCCAACATCAGGAATAATCAGTCAAGAATCATAAGTCAACATCCAGAAATCTTGGCTGTGCCCTTCTGGCCTGGGCCAGAATTACCTGTGTTGTTTCTAATAAAGGGCTGTTTGCTTTTCATTTATAGAATCACAAAATGAGATCGGATGAGATCTTCATCCAAGCCCTAACTCTGGGCTTTTCTAGCTCTGGACTATTCACTCCAGCCTAGTGCTGGGATCATGGCTGGGGAAGGAGCTGCTCCCTGTGGAACAGCAGCTGGAGCAGGAGGATCCTCTCCCATGCCAGGTTTTCTGCTCCCTTCCCCAGCCCATTTTCTCCATTTTCCAATAGTTTGTTGCTTTCTTCCACAGAGCTACCATTTCTCGGGTTAAAAAGAATTTTCTGAACCATTAAAACCACAAAACATTGTGGTAGTTAGATTACAAACACTCCAATTCATTAGTTTTAATGCTATTTCCTTTTTTCTTGTTGATCAGAACCAACAATTTGGCACTTAAATTTTTATTTTATTTTTTTTTTTTGATAATGTGGTAATAACTCCTCAGAACAGACTTTTAATTGCACTTACAGCAACTCTGCAGCATTTCAGCTGCCAGCACTGGTCTCTTTTCCAGCCTTTACCACAGTTGCACAATCTGCATCAGTCACATCGCCTGTGTTGACTCAACCATGACCTGGGGGAAAGTGAACTGTAAAATCTGGGGTGGGATGAGATAAGCTTTAAGGTGCCTCCAATTGCTGGATTCTGTGATCCCACGAGAACAAACCGTTAAAGCAATGTAAAACCCCCGTGAATTCTCTCCTAGGGATCCATGCTCCTGGCGGGCCGTCCTGGGCGTGCACAACCTTCAGAAGCACGGCCCGTACACGAGGAGGAGGAAGATCAGGAGGATCATTGTGCACTCGAAGTTCAGGAGGGAAACCTTTGAGAACGACGTGGCGGTGTTTGAGCTGAGGACGGCGGTGCGTTACAGCCTGTTCATCCAGCCCGTGTGCCTGCCCCCAGCACCCCTGGTGCAGCCCCTGGAGAACAGCTCTGACTGCTTCATCAGCGGCTGGGGACGCACGGCCGAGAAGGGTAAGGGGCTCTGGCCACATCCTCACCCTCACACCACGGGGTGCCCCCCAACTCCAGCTCCCCCAGTTTATAAACTCACTTTGCACTTGGATCTTGGAGGCTTTCTTTTCCTGACCTTTCAAAGGGGAATGGCACCAAACTGAAAGAGGATAAATTGAGATTAGATATTGGGAAGAAATTCCTCCCTGTGAGGGTGGTGAGGGCCTGGTACAGGTTGCCCAGTGCAGCTGTGGCTGCCTCATCCCTAAAAGTGTCCAGGGTCAGGCTGGACAGGGCTTGGAATAACCTGGGGTAGTGGAAGGTGGCCCTGCCCGGGGGATCTTTAAGGTTCCTCCCAACCCAAACCATTCTGTGGTTCTAACTGGATTTGCTCAGGTTATGGTCTCCTCACACAACATCACTTAACTGCAGTGAAGATCTGCTCTCAAGGGTTTTCTGTCACAGGCAGGTTAGACCCACACAGCTGTAACCACAGGAATACATTTCCCAGCCTTTCTTCCAAGTATAACATGAAAAAAAAGGAAAATAAACTCAGCTGGTTTCAGATCTGTGGTGCAGGTCAACGTGGGCTGCTGGAAACAGCTATTTTATTGAAAAGCAACAATTCTGATGCCACATGTTGTGAACTGAGGGGTTCCCAGGGGATTTATGAATGACTACACCCCCTCCAGTTCTCTCCTTACTCCCACTGGGCACAAATTCAGTGCCAGTTGGTGCCATCTGTGGGAGTTCTGGGGTCAGCTGGGATTGTATGAGTCTGTTTGATAAATCACCTCTGACATTTTGAGCAAGGCAGGTGTATTATCATCGATGCTTCTTCTGAGGAAGAACTGCAAAATCTGCATCAAACCCAAGTCTTCAAACCTTTAAACCCACTCCACTTCCAATCAGTTTGGACCAGGCAGGGTCTGTGTCATATCCATGTCTGAACACATCCAGGAACACACCCAGGCCGGTGAAACGGGGGGGAAAAAAACCCCACTGTGAAATTGCTACACACCCCAGCACATTTCACCTTTCTAAATTCTTTCTCCATTCAAGGTAAAAGCTCATCTGTGCTGAAAGAAGCCCAAGTGGAAATCCTCCCTTCCAGCCTGTGCAACAGCTCCGAAGGGTACGCGGGGCTCATGAACAACAAAGCGCTCTGTGCCGGAGTCTGGGCCGGAGGCACCGACAGCTGCCAGGTGAGAAGGGACGTGGTGCCCCACCTCCCAAGCATTGTGATTTGTAGCATAATTAATTAAAAACAGCAGAAATGCTAAGTGGAAAACACATCAGATGCAAAGGAAGCATCATAAAAGGGCGGGACAGTGATTGCAGTGCGAAAACATACGCAAGGAATTTGGTGATATTGGAAGGACGACAGGAAGAGGTGACCAAAGAGGAATAAACAAATGGAACATATTTATGCCACAAAGGTGTTAGTAAATGATAGATGAGACAGAACTCTGGACAGTGCAGTGGGTGTGAAACAATGTGCCTCACCAGTTCTTGTGCTGGAGAGCAGCACTGGACACAGGTAAGGCACAGGGAAGTGGCTCAGGGATGTGGTGTGATTTTAGTTTAAATTCTGAGCAATCACCACCTCTTTCTCAGAATAGCCAGTTCTCGGGTCCAAAGCACTCCAGCTGGGACAGGGAGACATTTCTAATTAAACCCCATAATGAATCCTATTTGTCTGATACACTTGCTGCTTCTCTCAGCAGTTCTCCCTGAGCAGGTGACACAGCCAAGACACAGGATTTGTGCTCCTTACTGTGTCCCTTGGAGCTTCCACACTGCCTGGATGAACTCCCCAGTTAAGCGAGGAGTCAGTGTTTAGGTTTAGGCACGAAAAGGTGCAGAGAGAAAACAAGAGAACCTGAGTTAAGGGATCCTGAAGCAGTGCAGGGCTGGGGCTCTGCTCAGTGCAGGAGGGATTTCTCCATGGAGAGGGTGGTCAGGCATTGGGAGCTGGTGGAGTCCCCATCCCTGGAGATGCCCAAGGAACAACAGGACGTGGCACTCGGCCATCCCACAAGATGGGGATCAGGCAGAGGTTGGACTTGATGACCTTGGAGGGCCTTTCCAACCTCAGGGGTGCTGACTCTGTCTTTCAGCAACACCAGATTTACCTTGAATTGTCCACATTGCGACTGGTTAACCGAGCTGCTTAAAACAAACCCCAAAAGCAGACTGCTCGCTGCCCTGAATTACTGTTGGAAGGAAACCTTTCCATGCTGCTGGTTTTTGTGGTGTTCCTTTGCAGGGTGACAGCGGGGGCCCCTTGGTGTGTTACCACCCCGACACCGACAAGTATTACCTCATTGGCATCGCCAGCTTTGGGGTGGGCTGCGGCCGCCCCAAATACCCCGGGATCTACGTGCGCCTGTCCCAGTACAGAAAATGGATAAAAGCAAAACTTCTGTTGACTAACAAGAGCTGGAACCCCGTCAGCACCGCACTCACCATCCTCCTGACCGTGGTACAAGCAGTGCTCCTGCAGACGGTGTAGAGGGGAAAACCATCGTGTTGTCCTCGTGGAGGTCTGTCCTGCCTGGAAAAGGTTGGAAAACCCAGCTCCCTCCTGCCTCACAATAAAACCAAGAGCCAAAGGATGTGCACTTACTTTTTAGGAGTCGTGTTTGCCATTGTGTTTTGTTTCCTGCCTCTGATATCCACACTGACAGGAGAGGAAACAGTAACAGCCTCAGCACTAATAAAGAGAATTGAATATAGAAATGTTATCAACTGGAAACACTTTCTTCTCACCCTATTTCTGTGCTTTTCCAGCCATCAGAAGGTTAAATACACCCAGTGATGCCAGCAGGGTTTGGGGATGGCAGATGCTCCCTCTGCCGGGTAAAAACCAGCAGAGCACACTAAGGTTTTAATTAACCATTTAATTAATCAAACCTTAACTGTGGCTCAGCTTATTGAGAACTAAGAAGGTAAAAAATCCCTGCAGGAAGGTAAAAGCTGTTCTGCACTTAGGATTTTTAGCACTGGCAGGTGTATAAAAGTGCCATTTCATCCACTAAAATTGACTATTATTTATTTCTGTCTGTCATATGACCCAGTCCCACACAGGTATTCACACCTGGTCACCACCACTGCAGCTCTAACTTCATTAAAAATAAATAGGGACCATCAGAATTATAATATTTTAGCGACTTTATTTACCAAGATCAAAATTTGCAACCATTAATTGTTTCAACAAATATTTACAATTCATGGAAAGCACGGACTGTTTGGAACCAACCAGCAGAACAGCATCAGCTGCTGCATCTCTTACCCTCAGGAATGAGATTTTACTCTTCAAAATCGAGATTTAAAAGTAAATCCAAACTAAGAACTTCATGATCAGTGCTTAAAGAGTGAACTTGTGTTACTGTTTAATATTCCCATGATGAAAAATCAGCTGTTCTTCCCAACACACTTTATTTTAAGAGTATAAAAATTGACTCCTGGTGTGTGTCTGGCAGGACAGGTACTTCCCTTTGCTGGATACAAGAAGAACTGGCCACCAGGTTTTTACAGTCTTAACACTTGATAGTTTTTGTTTATTATTGTTCCATATTACAAAAGAAAAGGAAAAAAAAAGAGAGAACACAGTGAGGATCAGCTACCACGGAGTTCCCAAAGCAGTTCAGAGCTGTAGGTCAAACCCTCTGCCACGTGCCAGGGCGCACACGGCTGAGGAAAGGTCCAGTTCTCTGAGGTGCGTGTTCCAGCCACATTCCAGGCTGTCCAATTCTCCTGAAATTCCACCAAAGAAACAGCAAACACCTCTCCAGGAGCAGCTCCCTCACTTTAGGACTTTCCCAACCTTATTTCTGACGTGTCACAAAGGTTTATTTTTTTTTTTTGTGACGTGATGGCAACCAGGAGTCACGCTCCAGCCTGGCCTAAAGGAAACGCATTGGGACTCGTGCCCACAACAACCAGAGACTCAGGAACTTGAGGGAATAGAAATATCCTTTTCTAGCCCACTAACCAGGAGATTGTGGAATGCAGGTTCTTCATGGCAAAGAGCTCTGCTTGCTACAAGTCCATTAATTCCCAAAGGAGTAAAATAAAAAAATACTGACTGACCATGGGATAAGCATTACACATCCAGGGAGGGAGCACAGCTTGGAATTCCATCGGGATCTGAGCTGGCACGACACACACACACGGAGCTCTGACACCTGGGAACAGCACAGCCTACAGTCTAATTCCCGCTGACAGAACTGGAAGCAGGATTCAATCCCAGCTATGGAAATGGTTTATTACTCATGCAAGAAGCACCTGCCCGAGACCAGCACGGTCACATCCTGCCCGGGTACCATGTCCTGCCCACCAGGCCCGCAGCCAGACAGCTCTGGGGGTCTCCAGCAGTGGAGATCCCCCAGGTAAAGGAGTCCTGATCATGTCAAACTTTAGATTTGCACTTGAAACAAATTGAAATTGTACAAACTGGACTCTCTGACACGATGAGATGTAATGAGCGGATATTGTCAACTCTGGGGAGTAAAAAGCCCTCATTTATTTTTTTTTTCTTTCTCTTTTTTTTCCCCCCAATACTCTTTAGGATCCGGTTTTTTTTCTGCAAGTTGCCTACAGACATACAAAATTAATTCAAGTATCTCCTACACCAAAGAGGATCTCATTTGACTTTGTACTATCCATAAAAATATATCCTTGAAAATCTGGTTCACAAAATATTTCATTTGGTTACTAAAATGAAAGATATAAACTGTCAAAATACGTATAGAAACTCAATTTCAGGTTTTGTAAAGATCACAATTTAGCTACAAAATATACCAACCATCTCCCTGTTTGCAATATAGTATTTGCTTACAAAGACACCGTTACTTTGCAAAATAGCTCCTACCGTACAAAATTAGGCTGGAAATTGTAATTTTGCACTACTTCCAGCAATAAACCAGAGATTAGAACCTCATAACCCTTTGGTATAGATCTTCCATTTTTTTACTAGATCATTTTTCTTCTATTTGGTTTCATGTTCCAGAGCCTGGGAGAATCCCTGGCCAGGACAAGCACTGAGTGTTTAATTGCAGATATGATCAGCACACAATTTAATTTCCAATGATTGATGTTTCTCATGCCCAGAACTAAGAACAAACTCTTGCAAAATTAAAAACTTTCGGAAGTTTAATCTCAGAAATTCTTCAGAACTTTTGTCACCAGTCCTTGTCCCTCACACTGTGCTTTAAAATCATTGATGTGTTGAATTCTCTAAGAAAATCAACACAATTTTCTGTGCCTCAGACACTTCCAGGACCAGGCCACTTGCTGTCTTCTGCAGATCCTTCCCCAATCTGATAAACACGGCAAACATGGAAAAAAAAAAATCATCCCAACTTTTAAAATTGTCATCTGAGAAAGAGTAGAAACATAATTTATACCTCGAGCAAAAGTATCAGCTTTTTTATCATCTGCACCTGTAAACACCACCTTACAGGTTAAAATAAAAATATTTACAGACAAATAACTGAAGGAAAAAGGCTTGAAAAAGAGTAAGAAATCAAAACATACACTGGTTATAAATGTTACTAATAATGTCAGCTATGGCAAGGATTCTGTTTCATCCATGTTTTCTTTGTAACCAAATTTTGCCCCCATTATTAGAGGTATTCATAGGAATTTTCAAAGAAACTCTCATCACCTGCCTCGCCACACGTGACTGTCCTTCCCCTGTAGCTGCAATCTTGAATTTTATCAGTTTCCAGTTGTGCCAGCAGGAATTTTGGTGAGGTTTTCTTGTTTCCTGTTTGTACTTTGTCACCAACGTGTTGTAAAGAAAATCTATAGAGTCTTTGAGCTGTGAAATCTAGGTAGAAAAGTTTCATTTTTGACCTTTCATCTATTTTAAAAAATTCAGTATAAAAAAAAAAAAAATTCTCCTCTGATATTTCACCAGTCTCCAAAGGTTTTTACCTTCTCTTCTTACACACTTTTATGACAGTAAAGATCTTTCAAAGTTTTTAGCTCTTCAATTAGAGTTTTGTTCTGATTTTCCAGGACTGCCACTCGATTTTCCAAACATTTCACATACTCCTTCTTCTTCCTACGGCATTCCCGGGCAGCTTCTCTGCAAGAGAGAAGCAGAGTTCTTGATTTTAGGTGTGAGATCTCTTTTGTGAACATCACAATACCGACCAATACAAGAGCTGGAACTGCAGTGGGGAACAAAACCAAGCCAAAAAGTGCCCCAGGAGAGCAGGAAATTCAGCAGGATGTGGTGACACGGTCTGCAGGGGAACCCCACTTTGGGTTTCTCCACACTGTGAGACACAAGGGAGCATGTCTGGGTCACAATTTCCCGTGTTTGGAACACAATCTCCCACAAGCTCAGGTGTGCTCAGGTGGGGAAAGAGGCCAAGGGCACCTGGGACAGGACGAGGACAGGGATTGCCCCCCTGTGCTGGACATTGTTGAGGACCCTCACTGCAAGAGCAGTATGGATGGGCTGGAGCATATCCAGAGCTGGGAACAGAGCTGGGGAAGGGGCTGGAGAACTCCTGAGGGAGCTGGGGGGGCTCAGCCTGGAGAAAAGGAGGCTCAGGGGGGACCTTCTCCCTCTCCACAACTCCCTGACACGAGGGGCAGCCAAGGATCTGTTCCCAGGGAACAGGACAAGAGGAAAAGGCCTCAAGCTGTGCCAGGAGAGGTTCAGGTTGGACATCAGGAGGAATTTCTTCATGGAAAGGGTGGTCAGGCTTTGGAAGGGGCTGCCCAGGGCAGTGGTGGAGTCCCCATCCCTGGAGGCGTCACTCAGTGCTCTGGTGGCGATCTGTCACAGGCTGGACTTCACAAGCCTGGAAGTCTTTTCCAACCTCAGTGATTGCACCATCTGAGCACCTTAAACTAGCCCCCTGAGCAGCTCAGGTGCCCTGACGTACCTGTTCTTCATCAGCCTGATCTCTCGTTTCAGCTGCGGATCATCCGTCTTGCTCGTCTGTGACGTCAGGGTGACGGGGGACGTCATCACCACGGTCTGGGGCAGGGAGGAGGTGGTGGGCGTGGTGCGGATCTGGTACGTCTGCATGTCCCCAGAGGCAGCTAGGGCACACAAACGGGGTGGCATCAGCAGGTGGCACTCAGGGTGACGGGGGTGTAACCGTGGCCCTGCTGGGTACTCACTCTGCACCACCACCTGGTTGCTGGGCACCAGGATCTGCTGCCCGTCCGAGGTCTGGGCGTACTGCAGGATGGTGGTCCCGGGCTGGGAGCCGCCGGCGTTGGCCATGGTCAGTGTCTGCAGCCCCTGCACCCCGTCTGCCCCCGGCCCTGCCAGCTGGAGCCCGTTGGCTGCGATGGCAACTGCGAGGGGAGGCACAGGGATGAGAGGATTTGTAGCTGGACGGTATCAAAAACAGGTCAATCACAGTGTCCTACAACAGCTGGGGTTGGGAGGGACCTTAAAGCCCACCCAGTGCCACGGCAGGGACACTTCCCACTGTCCCAGGCTGCTCCAAACCCCCTCCAGCCTGGCCCTGGGCACTGCCAGGGATGCACCTGTGCCAGGGCCTCACCCTCACAGGATGGAGAGGAGCAGGTATGAAGCACCACAAACACCAAGTGGTGCTTCCATCCATCCATCAAAGGAACAAATCCTAATTTTCTGTATCTCTCTGATACCACAGGAGCCTTTTAGTGTGGCCTGTGATACATATATATATTTTTATATATTTATATATGTGTCTTCACTGCCCTGTTGGGTTAAATCCAGCAAACAACACCTCAGTGTGCTCCACACCAACACCTTCAAATGTCTGAATGTGCAAAAATTAAAATGACAAAGCACTGGGTTTATCTGAAGTCCATAGATACCAGTTTTATGTTCTAACTTTACTGACTGCTAGATAATAACCAACTTTTGTCCTTCATCTTACTCAAATATTTAATGAATTCTGCATTTTGAGGCAAGCTGAGGAAAAACTGTGAGGATGTTTTGGGTGACATACTGTACTGTCCAGTGCTTGTCTGGTAGATGGGCGTGGGAACAGACATGGAGGTGACAGTGGAGACCCCAGGACTTTCCTCATCTCCTTTTCTATCCCGTGTGTCTTCAGAAGAAAGATCTTTCAAAATTTTTCTGCAAAAAAAAAAGAAGAAGTCTGACATTTGACCACACTCCTCACTCCAGTAAAATCATACAACTGAGTAAAATCACAGCTGGTGAACGTTTTGCCCTGTACAAAATCCTGCTGAGGCCAATCTCCAGTTAGTGGAGTCCAAGTTTCCTCACAGCAACGATGGCTCAGAATGTTCAGTGCATGAACAGACTCACTGCTTGTTTCAAGGGAAAGGAAACAACCTGGAGGGCAGCAGAATATTGTAAAAACCACGGGGAGAGGCTGCTGGTTTGGTTTCAAATGAAAACACCGAGTGTATCACAGCCATACCGGTAGGATGGACGACGAGCCAAGATGCCTCGAGCCTTCTGTGAGGAGCCAATGCTGTCTGAGGAGTCCTGAGAATCCTCACTCTCAGACAAGGAAGATACCTGGTGAGAAAGGCAACAGGAACACCAGTGATGCACAGGACAAACACAGAAAGCACCTGGAATATTTTATGTAGAAGAGGAGCACTGGGGTTTGTTGGTGAGAATGTAAAAGCCCAATGAAAAGAGTATTTCAGGCAGCAGCATATCAGGGAGTAAATATGCAAAGTACTATCTACAATTTTCTTTATTCCACTGTGTGCTCATCCAGTTCAAAGTGTTATTTTGTCTCTGATGCTCCTTATTAGTGAACAAAACGTTTATTTGTTCTTATCCATGTGGCAGTAACAGAGTGCAGAGGAATGCAGGGAGCTCTGGGAAAAGCCTCTCACTGAACTGCAGAGACAGAGCAGCCTGTGATCGGCAGGGGAATAAACCTGCTCGTGCTCTACTCCTTTTTTCCCCCTCCAGCAAGGCCACGATGTTCATGAATTACAGAAAAGGAATGAATCCAGTCAGTGGAGACTGTGCAACCAGGGGGAAGGAAAAGGAAAGAGAATTAACAGACAGGAGCAGCAGCCAATGCTGCTTTCAGCAGGGACACGTTCCCCTCTCCCTGCTCTGATGTTACAGCACGGACAGCTGACAATCCCTGCCAGGTTTGCTTCTCGTGGCATCTCAATTTAGTGTGCTGTGAGGAGTGTGGGACAAGGATCAGGGACAAACTGCTGGGTTTTTAGAGCAGCTCCTCCCTCGCCTGGCTGCCAGGGCCGTGGTTTCCCAGGGGCTCTGCAGGTCCCCAGGGGCTCTGCAGGTCCCCAGGGGCTCTGCAGCAGGGACTGAGTGGAGCAGGAACAGACTCACTGCAACTCCCTGGGTACCTCTTGGATGGGACTCCTACAAAAACCACATGGCAAGTGAGTAAGAGACACAAGCAAAGACTTGGCTACCTTGGGAAGGGAGTTACAGCATGAGAGAGCACCCAGCAGCTCATCCCACCTTTCCCAAACGCTCATTTTAATCCACTACTGAATTATTCCCCACTCCTTTGGCTGTCAGACCCCACCTGACTGCCAAGGCACCAACTACAGAGCTGTGGGTTGGATTTTTTAATTAAGGGAGGTTTCATTTTGACTCCAAAGTTGACTCCCCACGAGGAAGAATTCCAAGCTCAGATGAGGGATCCCACAGGAGTGTCCTTGGACTGCTCACTGTCTCTTACAGCAGGGCACAAAGGCTGAGAGAAACCTCTTTTCACATCTTCTCACCTACAGAACTGCACACCTGGGGTAGTTAAAGCCGTTCTGGAGTTACCTGCACGGTTTGCACCTGAGGGGAGTGGATCACAGAGGAGGACTGAGCTGTCTGAATGACTCCCTGGACCTGGACTTGCTCTCCAGGAAGCTGAACGACTGTGAGGGGAGCAGAACCTCTGAGAGACATCTACAACAGACCAAAAACCATCAGTAAAACCCTTCTGCCACACGACTCAGCAAGTGCAACACGTGTAGGAAAACTGCTGGAGAAGCTGCATTAGCAGCTTATTTTAATTCTAATTAAATCACAGAAGCACCTTTAATGATGCACACTTTTTAGACATTCTTTGCATATAAAAAAGGCTGAAACAGTTATTTCCTTTAGCTGGAGAAAAATCAAATGTCACATAATCAAATATTATGTAACATATTAAAACCATGAAAATGCTTCAGCTTCCTAGAGGGTTTGGAGTTTTGATGTTGAACTCAAGTAAGTCTTTGCACTTTAATTTATATTATTCACGTTTCCATATGTTCACAAAACAAAAATTCAAGTTATACACGTAGATTGTAAGTAAATAACCAATTTTGTCATGAAATTTTTTCACTACTTTTATTAATCTGAAATACATGAGAAGATGAAGGGATCATTAAAATACAAACAGCTGAATTTCCATTTAATGCTACTGGAGTATCATAACTCACAATATCAAGGGATGATCAGATCTTTATATAAAAACAGATCAGGAAACCAGCCTGGAAACAAACCCCAGGACACCTGCTGATATTCTCTCCTTTCCTCTATCTGAATTTTGCACCAAAATTCCAATTGCCTCCACAGGATAAACAGTGGATGAGCTGCAAAAATACTGGTTTTTTTTCCCAGAAAAATCCTCCTGGAAGGATTCACTCTTTCACCAGTTCTAAGGGATTCAGGTTAAAGCTCTGACAGGGATGTTAGAGGAAGAATCTCAAATTTTCAGGTTCATATGGTTTATTAGATTAAATATGTTCATGTTGGGCTAAAATCCAAGTGTTTCCATGGTGCTTAGTACCCAGGATTGCTGCTACTACAAAAAGAGCTGGAAATGCTTTTTCTAAGGAAAAAAATGAAACCAGGCCCTCATTTTATTCCTGAGCAGCTCCTCTGGTCAACTAACCCCAAATCTGGGCTGCACTTCTGCACTGTACAAACACAAAAATTAGCTTTTTAACACTTTAAAGTTAACTTTATGTCATCCACCATCAAACAAACACATTTTTCTAAGCCTCTTTCTGTTTTTTTTATCTTCTCTGAGTGCTCCTAAGAAGGGATCTATGGTTTGTAGCACAATAAAAACCGTCTCTAACTCCCTGCAATGTTTGCTGAGATCCAGCCCAGGCTTTACCTGTTGAGCAATATGAGAGAGCTGAGCTGCCTGCAGGGTTGTACCTTGTACAGCTGAGGGCTGGGACGTAACAGAGCTGCTGCTGCCGCCCTTGTGCACCTCTTCCATCATCAGCTAGGAGAAAACCAGTTAAATCCAGTTAGTAACGAATTTGGACGGCAGACACGTGCCCACTTCCACCCTGCCTGATGGGTCTGGTCTCACTTGGACGCGCTGAATGAGCTCTTTGCCCTCCTGTGTCACCATTATTGAGGCACAACCAGGATTTCTGTCACTTCACCGAGTCTTTCTGTGCCTCATCAAAGGGGGAAGGAGGGGAGGGACAGCGTGGGACCTTGTCCTGCTCATCCCTGTGGGTTTGGGCAGGTGAAGCTGCTCCACACCTGGAGTCTCCTCCTGAGGCCTGGGAACAGCAGGAGTCCCAGCTGGGAATAGAACAGGTTTGTGCTGTGCTGTAAAGGACACAGAATCACGGAATGATGGATTGGTTTGGGTTGGGAGGAACCTTAAAGTTCATCCAGTCCCACCTCCTGTCACGGCAGGGACACTTTTCACTATCCCAGGCTGCTCCAAGCCTCATCCAACCTGGCCCTGGGCACTGCCAGGGATCCAGGAGCAGCTCCAGCTTCTCTGAGCAATCTGTGCCAGGGTCTCACCACCCCATTATAATCCCATTAATATCCAATTCCTAATAGCCCATCTAACCCCACTCTCTTTCAGTTTGAAGGAAGATCCAGGAAGAAAACCAAAATTCTTTATACTAAAGAATATCTTTCTCTAAGTAAGATAATTTCCAAAAATATTTTAGCCAAGCCACCAGCCAAACCTATTTTAAACTATCTGAAGGTGTATAAAAACAAACCAGGGACTCAAATCAAAGTGAACACAGTTTTGAATTTTAAGAGTCACTCTGTCTTGATGTAATGCAGTCAGCAACACTTCTCTCATGTCTAAGATTTTATATTTAACCGTTCAACGTCTTGCCAGCATCCCCCCTCGGATTCTGGGGGATTCAGGGATGCACAAATGCAGGTTTCAGCTGGGGGGAGTGGGCGGACCAGCCTGGAGCATTAAAAGCTGATGGGTGAGTGTTAAACATTTTGTCACAGAAGGTTTGAAAGTGTTGAAAGGACAGTTGCTATGAGACTGGAAATTACATTTCTTTCTGTGGAAATGTGAGTCATTGATTTTTCCCTGCTGAGCCCAACCACAGCACGCAGCCCAATGAACGCTCCTAGGGGGAAGAGTCAAGCAAGAGCAGAGCCCTCGCTGCTCTGAGGGGTCCCCAAAAAAGTCACTAAAGCAGGGCTTTGTAGGGACAAAACTGGTGCCTGGGTGATAGGAGAAACTGTGGTCGATGGAGCAGTGAGGAAAGGCTGGGAGAACTGGGATTGTTCAGCCTGGAAAAGAGAAGGTTCGGGGTAACCTAAATGTGCCTTTCCAGAACCTGAAGGAGCTGCAGGGAAGATGGAGAGAGACCATACACAAGGGCCTGGAGTGACAAGAAAAGGGGCAATGGTTTCCCACTGACAGATGGCAGGGCTGGATGGGATAACAGGAAGGAATTCCTCCCTGGGAGGGTGGGCAGGCCCTGGCACAGGTGCCCAGAGAAGCTGTGGCTGGATCCCTGGCAGTGCCCAAGGATGGGGCTTGGGGCAACCTGGGATGGTGACCCTGTCCATGGCAGGGGGTGGAATGAGATGTTCTTTAAGGTCTTTTCCAGCCAAAACAAATCCATGATTCTGTGTGTCATTTACAGCACAGACCAAACCTTCCCCAGCCAATGATGCAGCTTCCCGACATCCTCGTGGCTGCAAACATCAACCACTTCAAGATAATGAGCAGAATTAATGTCAAACCTGCAGTGGACACAGCTCTGCCTGTCCTCAAACACAATCTTAGCTTTTATAAAGGAAAATCTGCATTTTGCACCCTGCAAAGTGCCCCGGGTAACCAGGGCCCCTCAAACCGAAATCCAGGCAGCAGCAAAAATGACAATTAATTTCCAGTGCTACAGAAACCTCCACTCATTTCTGCAGTGCTAAACCACAGCCTGCCCTCCCCGCTCTCTGCTAATAGTTTCTCTACCTTACTGTCCCATGGAAGACTCAAAACAACAGTGAAACCAATAAAACCACCCCAAATAAACACCCCAAGGAGAAAACACAGAGGGTTTCGCTGACCTTTCTCTCACTGGTGTGGAGTTCTGCTTACAGGAATAAAAGATAAAGTATTTCCCATCAGAAATATGGGTTTTGAGTTTAATTCATCTCTGCTTGCTCTGGAATATTTAATTATTCATCCAACATCAATCAATAAAAAGATTTAGCAAGGATTGCAACAAGACAGAAATTCATCCTCACAGCCTCTGGGGATATGAGTGTAACACAAGATTCCCAAGCCTTTAACTTTATTTAGCTGGAAAACCAGGAATTTCCCCCTGGAAATTTATTGTCCAGAGAATGATTATTTGTCCCAGTCTGTACAAACACCACTTTTTTTATAACCAGACAGGTAAGGGTGATGATTTTCACAGTAAACCCGACGTCTCCATGCAGCTCCACCTCAAAAGTAATTTAACTGAAAGGATTTTGCAACAGCAAAATTTGCTTTAAGGACTCCTAAAATTCTGGGCATCACCTCCCCCCAGCCAAGGAAACTCATCCTACTTCAAACCTGAGCCTCAAAATCACCTTCCTGTGAAACATAAACAGGAATGTCACATTCATCAGGGCACATTCCATTTCTCAAAGTTCACCGACTCCCTCCAAACACCACACAAACCCACCAGAAACACCTGACATGCCCAAGGAGCATTAATTAAAAAAGAAAACCCGTTCCCACAACTTCCTCTGATTCCCTAATTCTGTAAATTCCCTAAAATGCTACAGAGAGCAGCAGAGGAAGAAACCAAGTTCTGTTTTGCCCTGGCAAGTTGAGTAGAGGAAGGGTCTGAATGATGTTTCATCTGAAATATTGTAAGAGCCAGCTGACTGTATTTTTTTATAACGTCAGAAATCAAGGAAAATTTGACACAGAATTTTATTCTCAAATAGTGACAGGAATCGAATTCTGACATTTACAAATTATACAAAGGGATTTCAAAACATTTTCCTAAATGATACTTAAGTAATCTAGGAGAATTTGGGGTCCTCAAAATCAGCTGCTTTCAGCAGTGAAAATATTATTTACCTAATTTTGCTATTAAGACACTTGAAGAAAATTTGCTCACCCAGAAAACTGACAGAACTCCGTTTTTAACCCCCAGAAATCAGTAAAAGCCAGAGCAAAGGGCAGAACATCCCACCAGATGTGCCAGAGAGCAAGTGAGGAGTGTCACCGTGCCCAGTCACTGCTCCAGATTCCATTCCACAAACACACAAAGTTATTCCTTAAAACTCCAGGAGCACTTTCCTCATAGGATTTCTCCCACTCCAGCACCAGCCCTGTACAGGAACATCCCTTGACAGGAGCTTCAGAAATAAAACGCTGCAGCCTAAAAATGTCAATATTCTATCCGCACCAGGGAGGGAAAAACAGCCCAGAGATCATTTCTATCCCGCCGCCCTGGATGCAGCCGATCCTCACTGAGCGCTGGCAGCCGAGGCTCGGACACGGCTCTGGGGCTAAATTGGCAGAGCACAGGTAACGACGCCCATTAACGGCGGTGTGGGTCGCGATAAAGCCCAGTTTTGTCACCGGGCAGGGCTCGGGGACGCAGCCACCGCTGGCCGGGAGCGGCTGGAGCCGCGGGGCCTCTCGTCACCCCCAGACCACCTTCCCCCNCTAGAGCGGCCGCCTGGAGCCGGCCCCGCCCGGCCGCACCACAGAGAGGAGGCGGCGGAGCGCCGCTCCCGGGCACGGAGCGGGAACAGCGCCGCCACCGCTGGGAGGAGTGCGGCGCCAAGCCGCGCTCTGGGGTCGGGATCGCGATCGCCGCCGGGAAAATCACGATATTCCCGATATTCCCGATATTCCCGGTATTCCCGGTCCCCGCGGGGGGAACAGCGCGCACAGCCGTGGGCGAAGGGCAGCGCGGCCGGGTTGTACCGCGGCTGGGACGGGTCAGGACTGCGGCCGCGACTCCTCACGGCCGGGCGGGTGCGACTGAGGGGTTTTAAGGAAGCAGCAGGTTTGGCCACTCTGGGGATTATTCCACAGCGGATTTTAAGATCACAGGAAGGCTTTGGGATCCAGTCGGTGCCCCCCTTCACATGGGACAGTTCCTCTGCAGTCCCAGGGGTCACAGGAAATTCAGTATTCCCTGTAAAGCACGAACTGCAGACAGGCACCTCTAGGAATAGGAACCTCGCCCCGATTTTCACAGGATTTCCCGGATTTCCTGCGGTTGAAAAATCCCTCGAGTTCAACTTTGTCCACGGAGTGTCACGTCCAGGAATCCCTGGACACCTCCAGGGGTGGGCACTGCAAACCTCCCTGGGCACTTCCAAGGCCTGAGCGCCCTTTCCACGAGGGAATTCCTGCTGCTGTCCCCCTTTCCATGGGGAAATTCCTGCTGCTGTCCCCCCTTTCCATGGGGAAATTCCTGCTGCTGTCCCCCTTTCCATGGGGAAATTCCTGCTGCTGTCCCCCCTTTCCATGGGGAAATTCCTGCTCCCCCTGAGCTCCCCAGACCCAGCCCGAGGCTGTTCCCTCTCCTCCTGTCCCTGTTCCCTGGCAGAAATCCCAATCCCCGGCTGTCCCCTCCTGCCAGGGACTTGTGCAGAGCCACAAAATCCCCCCGATCCCCCTTTTCTCCAGGCTGAGCCCCTTTCCCAGCTCCCTCAGGAATTCTCCAGCTCCTTCCTTGGCTCCACTCCCTGCCCTGATCCCTAAAAACTGTGATTTCTAAAACTACGAATCCAGGACACTGCCCAGCCCGGCTCCTTCACACCCTCAGAGCTCCGACACTGCTCTGTACAACTGACAAAATATAAATTCTCAAAATATATCTAGAGTTGAAAATATAATTCAAGTTCTCCCTCTGCCCAGGAGCAATTTTAACCCGCGTTTTCTTCCTTAAAAATCAAATTTCTTCATGGAAACAGCGCTGGAAGGACTAAACAAGCAACCAGGCATCAATATTTATTAACACAAGACAAAGGAAACACAATCAATGCGTTAATGGGACACTGTCCAGCCAGGTGTTAAATTTAAAAATGTAACTAATCTAATTTTAAATAAATAAAACCTTTATACATAATTACAGAATGCCGGAGTCTGAATTGGACAATGGGAAAGAGGTTGACAGAAATAAAAGCAAAAAAAAAAAAAAAAACCCAACAAAATAAATGCATCTAGGGCTAAAATTGATCTGGTTTTTATAACCTTATTTTAGGACAGTTAGTAGGACACAGCTGAATTGATTTAAACCAGAAATGAAGTGCAAATTCTAACAAAAGGGGACAAAACTCTCTTGTTCCCACAGCGTTTGCTCGGAGAAGATTCAGAAAACAGCGAGACACACACACACACAATATTTTAGTCCAGTGAGGAA